TAGGGTATTTGGTGAGCAAGGAATAGGAATTGTTTAGCCATTTATTTATGGTGATTTTGTGGATTTATTTTTAATCAGAGATTTTTTTCCACTTCTCAGACTTTTATATTTGGTTATGTGGATGGCAAAAATGGGATCTTTTAAACTCGTTAACCTACACTGGTCAAGATGGTAGCGTTGGCAGCATGTTGCTGTTGAAGTTACACTTCTGTAATTGTTATCTGTGGCAGCGCCTTTTTTGTCCTGAAAAAGCAAAAACTAGACACTTGTAGAAATGTAGATTTACTGCAGACGTGTCCTTGCTCCAGCAGAAAGCTCATGAGAGTGTAAAGTTTAACTGTAAAGTACTTGCCTGAGGCAACATACTTCTCAGTTACAGCATGTAGTACATTTGACCTCTGTTCAAGAACAGAAATTTTAAGATCAATTCCTTCACATAGTAGTAGTTAGACATGCTTCCCAATCCATTTCGGACTGGCAATATGGCCTGGTCATCCACTTTGCAGTATCAGTGTGTGCTTTGTGTCTTTTCCTGTGTGAGGAACACGTTCACCCTCAGAAAACAAGGTGTAAAAGAGAAAAAAGCAGGATCATTAAGGAGCAAGGATGAAGGGTTATTGGGTCGTATCGTTCAAAAGTAGCACTCCTTGGTTCAGAAATTTGAGGAGCAGCTAAGTGAATAGACAAAATAAAGAACACACAATGGTGGAAGTGGTAGAAAGGTTTGGCTTTCTTTCCCCTGTGGGGAAGCTATGTATGACCACACAGTCGGTAGGGCGGTGGAGTGAGGAAGCTGCTGGCATGCTGAGGAAAGGGCTGTGATCTATAGTGGTGATGACAAGATAGTTTATTGGCTTGCCTACAAGAATATGAGAAAATGTATTCCTCTTATGCCATCAACGTATTCTCCCTTCTCATCTTCCGCTGTTGCTGCTAACAATCCCATCCTCTACCGACCTTTAATCTCCTTTTATTTTTCACCATCTTCCTAATTTTCTTTTTCCTGTTGACAGCTTTGTTCTTCCATCTCTGCAGATTGAGTCGGACATTGCCTCCCTTTTGTCTTTGTCATGTTCTTTCATTTAACAGGCTGAAGAAATGACCAGAGCCGACAGCCTCATTATAAAATAACAAGGCTGTTAATTGTCTAGATCATGTCTTGTGGGGATTGTATTATTTACCCCCTTTTAAATGAGATTGAGTCCCGACTTTTAATACAGCCTTTCCACTTGAAAGCGCAGCTTTTATCATGCCCGACCACTTTTCCCTCCACATCACTCTTTTCTGGATTCAGTCTCCATTCCCTTGCCATCTTTTTTTTTTCTTTTTGGCCCCACTCCTTCACTGAAAACAAATTTAAATGCTAACAAGGCAAATCTGCCTAGCATGTCCTCCCACAGGATAGACATAAAAATAAAAAGCAAATGAGAAGAAATTCGTTGCAATCTCTTCCCTTGGGGAATTTCTCACAGACATGGGGGGGATGCGCAAAATCCTTTTTTGGTTCTAATATTGTTTATTACAATAATCATTCATGCATGCCTTTGACAAAGGAGATTAAGTTTCAGTCAGCATTTCCATATGCAATTATGTGCATGTGAATAACCTTCTATAGAGCTGTGTCAACTTAAATGATCCGATCCACCTATTAGGCATAAAAAGGAGGAAAAATCAAGCAGCAGTGCAAAAAATACTGTTTATTACGCATGTTTGTTCATTTCCTCTTTGATTGGTGCAGCCAAATAGGTTGCTACTGCAAATTAAATGCAACGCTTCAGTGTGTGTCCATGCTTTCATCTGAAAATTACAAAAATTCAACATCTCTGAGCAGTTGCTTTTTTAAATTACTAAAACAAGATTGTCACATTCAAGCTTAGACTCGTAACTGTGATCACCATCATAATGGCATAGTGAACAGGTTAAAAATCTTCACAGGTGTGCATCTATGTGCGCTTATACCACATGTGAAACACTTGTTCACCGCTTCGCCAAATGCACCTCTCTCTCTCTCTCTCTCTCTCTCTCTCTCTCTCTCTCTCTCTCTCTCTCTCAGGTTTTACTTAAATATCATAACTGCTCGTCCACGTATACCTCTGAAATTAGATTTAGCACACAATTATGCATGAACAAGCGGCTCATAACAGCTGTGCAGCTATACAGGAGTTTATGTAACGCTCGTTATTTCTCATTTAGTTTGACGCCATGGCAGTCAAACTAAAGTGGAACAACAGTGGCCTTGTTATTTCTCAGTGGAAGAGCAGGTCATCTAGGTCAGACATTTTACAGTTTAGACCTGTTGGTGATTGCCTTTCAAAAAGAAAACATGGCTCTGACAGTTGTGTGATAATTGTCTGAATATTTTAATGCTTGAGTACACACAGCTGCACATTCACAGGTTTTACTGTCTAATTTCATTTTATAATGCCATAACGACCGTGATTAAAATTATTCTCCTGGCAGACTGCTCGTTGCACAGAATTTTTCAAAACTAGGCCTCAATTACCAAGTGCTGTTGTTGGAGCATACATAAAGTTCATATAAAACAGTTCAAATTTTAGCAGTTAATCTTAACAAGGCCTATTATTGATATACTTTCTCAAATTTGTATTGTTCCTACATCACATGAGAGCATGTGTATGGGGGAAAAGCAGGAAAGCAAGTAAGAAAAAAATAACAAGAAGAAGAAAATAAACTAGACTAGCGTTTTGTTGAATATGGAAGGTGACGTTTGAATTTTCACATGCAAGGAGTCTCAAAACTCTCTCCTGTAAAGACTGCTGTAGCCTCAAGGTGAGATTAAAGCACAAGAAGTTGGATTTATTTTGCTCTCTGTCTGTTTATTGTATAACTTTGTGTGCATGCATGCACAAGTTATACCTCCACCTCCATGCTCTATATGTGTCTTTCTGCATTGGAAAATGCATTCATTGAAGCGGGCCGCCCACACACACACACACACACACACACACACACACACACACACAAAGCAGTTAATAATGCACAGCAATATATCCAGACCGAAAAGATAATTTCTGCTTTGCGAGCCCTGTAATGAAAAGACTAATATTAAGATTCTTAAAAAGATAAAGAACGTCATCCCCTTTTCATTGTACAGTATGCTCTTCTCCCCGATGCACACGTCCAATTTATATTCACATACACTGGAAAGAATGAAACGGTATTGGATTATGAAGTTTAATAAGGCTATAATTGAAGATGCCATGGTGCATTTGCCATAATCCCACGCATAAGTGATGTCTATTGAGAAATTTGTCCTGTACACACTTCAAATTTGCTGATATTTCATGCAAATATTTGCTCTCAAACCACATTTTAAGGGAAAAGTGCAGTTAGTTATTGCATTGTTTTCAGTATCTGCATATTTGAAGCAGACATGCGGTTTTTTTTTTTTGGTGTTTTTGGAGTTTTTAGGATGGCAATGCTGCTCTGTCAGGCGATTGATCGCTCCACCACTTTAGTCCAGACTGGAATATCACAACAACGAGGGGATGTACAGTATGCCCATGAAATTTGGTCCAATTATTCATGGCCTCCAAATGACAAATCCCTCTGACTTTGATGAATCTCTGACTTCTCTGCTAGAGCCACCATGAGATTCAGATTCATACTTTTTATGAAATGTCCCAACAAATTTTGGATGGATTGCCATGAAATTTGTGTCGACACGTTCATGTCCCCAAAAGAATGAATTATAATTACGTCTGTAACCCCTTAACTTTTCATCTGGAGCCATTATCTGGTCTCAATTTTAATCTGTCCAATAATTGTACGTATATTGTGTTCTTAGTATAGTTATTAGCCTATGTGATTCATTGATTCATGTATTTGTTGACCTTAATCACGCTTCATTTGATTGGAAATACAATACCTTATATATTAAGGAAAATTCACTCTATATCCTGTTTTTTGTGTCTATTTACAGCATTAAATTCAGGGAGTGAAACCCTAAATTCGTTTCTGAGTTTAGCTATATCCACTTCGTGCATCATAGTGCATAGTGACAGTTCTAGGTTGACAGCCACACACCAAAGCCACATGTGTGTTACAAAAATAAGTGCAGCCTCTGCTTAGTATAGCTATAAATAGAGCTCTAGTGCACTTTGCACCAAGCACTTTTGACATGGTTCGAGCAGGTGGATTATTCAAGTATCCTTAATCCCAGTGAGAGAGGTCTGAGAGTATGACACGCAGCAGGCCTCCCTCCTCTAACAGCCCCACCATCAATGTCCGGGGTCCCTCTTGTACTCAAGGTCCCTCCTGACAGATCTGTGAACAAAAAGATCTTGAGGTGAGCTGTGGCAAAGTTGCTGTTTTGTATATGAATACGATTGGATGCTACTAGTCAGTTTGTGGCCTAGGTAACAAGGTATTTACGAGTTAATGAGCTAAATGATCAATGATGAAACATAAATGAAGCAGCTGATTGCAATTTAGCAAATTGCACCTGCAATGGTCCGCCTGAACTAAAGCAATGCTTCATTTATGTGACATATCATCTAGAGTTTGGAAACCAGAGACCACTGTTTAGATTAGGCTAGGGGATCAGCTAGATTAGAAAGGACCTGCATGCTCCAGTGTCACTGAAGCTCAAGTGCCGTGTACACACACTTGTCCCTCTACTCTGTCAAAACAGAGTGACTCTGCCATTCCTGATAAAACTTTGTCTGGGGTGAGGCAACTGGCTGTGGCTTTAGCTAGAAACCTTTGGTATGTAATCTGTAAACAATGTAAACAATCTTGCCAAGTTGCTGAAATAGGCTACAGAAACTAATCAGAGAATTATCAGAGATAGAATACTTGAAACAAGGAACGCGCATGCAGGCAAATTCATTGTGCTGAGATGAGAACATAAGGGAATAAACCATTAGAGCCACATTAGAGGGTGATCCCAGTGTCTCCTACATAATAAAGCATGTGACTCGTCCCACAATCAGAGAGCAAGTAACTTAGAGACTGTCTCTCTGTGTCTTCCTCTCCAGGTAATGTATTTGTGGTGAGTTTGGCCTTTGCTGACCTTGTGGTAGCCTTCTACCCCTACCCCTTGGTTCTCTATGCTCTCTTCCATGACGGATGGGCACTGGGAAACACGCAATGCATGGTAAGACCGAATCAGCTAAAGCGTGTGTCAGTTAACTACCAACACAACACCAGTAATCGACGCCCAACACACTGACACAAACACTTCACTTTCTTTCTTTCTGTTCAGGTCAGCGGTTTCCTTATGGGGCTGAGTGTCATCGGTTCCATTTTCAACATCGCTGGGATTGCAGTGAACAGATACTGCTATATCTGTCATTCATTCTCCTACAGTCGGCTGTACAGCTTTCGCAACACTCTGATGTTTGTTGCCTTAATTTGGGTGCTCACAGTGATGGCCATTGTCCCCAATTTCTTTGTTGGCTCCCTGCGCTACGACCCGCGGGTCTACTCCTGCACCTTCGCCCAGAATGTCAGCCGTTCATACACAGTGACGGTGGTTGTGGTTCACTTCTTGGTGCCAATTGCAGTGGTTACCTTCTGTTATCTACGCATCTGGGTACTTGTGATTCAGGTCAGTCTCCTGCTTCTCCAGATGGTCATTTATATTTTTACAGGAACACAGAAGTTATTAACCTGTAAACAACACAGGCACACCTTTGGCCAAACAATGATAAAAATCTTCAGGGTTCATCCAAATTGGGCTTGTAATGTAGAAAAGAAAAGTTGAATCATTGACCCTTTCCTGGATGAGTTAGTGTAATTGTCTAAATGCCAGGATATACTGACAAAATCCATCATCTCATCATTGAAATATTTTTTTCCATGTGACATTTTAGTTGAGCATTTGATCTTTAATTACCAGTAAGTGTAGGTTTTAAACAAAAAAGAAAAAAAGATTTCAAGAAGCCAGTGCCTGTGATTTCAGCAGGGATATTGTGTTTGACAGGCATAAAGATGGATGAGATACCTGTACATGTGCATGTCTGTGTGGGTCTCTGTCTGGTTGTTGCAATGTGCGTAATATAGAGAGGCAGAGAGGATCAGCAGCCTTGGCATCATTACCTTTAGATAATTCTTATCTTATGTGTTTTCATCCAGGTGCGACGTAAAGTGAAGACAGAGGAGAGCCCACGCCTCAGACCAAGTGACTTGCGGAATTTCATCACAATGTTTGTGGTCTTTGTGCTGTTTGCCATCTGCTGGGCTCCACTTAACCTGATCGGCTTGGCGGTGGCCATAGATCCTTCTCATGTGGCTCCCCGCATCCCAGAGTGGCTTTTTGTGGTCAGCTACTTCATGGCCTACTTCAATAGCTGTCTGAATGCCATCATCTATGGCTTACTCAACAGGAATTTCAGGAACGAGTACAAACGCATTATCACTTCTGTCTGGGTGACTCGGCTTTTTGTGACAGAGACTTCGCGACCAGCCACGGACGGCAGGAGCATGAGGAGCAAGCAAACGCCGCCTCCGCCGCTCAACAACAACGAGTCGGTCAGAGATCGTTCAAACAAAGAATGACATCTGTAATCCTTGAGCCTGTTAAATGGTAATTCCTGTTTTTTGTGACATCCAGTCAGTTGTGCAGCTAAAGAGTATCAAGTAACGGATGAAACTAAATGACATGGCTTGGTTTTCTGTTAGCTGACATCGATCTGGTCTGATCGTGTAGGTAAACATGTTTACATCTGTGAAGAAGTTTTTTCTAAGTTGTGAAAAAATAATATAATAATATAAGTTCTTGAAAGTTTATCATTAGGAGGATTAACTCAACAACTTTGCTAAAGTGCTAAATAAGGCCGAGTGTCCTCTGTGATGTTGATATGTTGTTACGTCCTGGGAGAACGAAGCCATGCATTGCAGTTTCATTTTGCTTGTACTCTAAAAACAATCTGAATGGTACATTAATATATCATAAAAAATGTAATATCCTTTATGGTCTGCTGCTGTAAACTCTGCGTATTTCACAAAACGGGGTAGCAACTGGTAAACGCAGGCTACACCTCTCTTTAGTAACTTCAAAAGCCTCAAAATGTACAACTCGCCTCAACTGAATGCTAGATTTGTAGAGAGGAGATAATGTCAGTCTGTCTGATGGAGTTTGGCGTGGTGACAGTAATGTGACGGAAGCATATACTTCATGCTGCCTGGTCTGACCCTCTTGCACTGCAAAACACTTTGAACAAAAACTTAGTAATGAACATAAAACATTGATTTAGAAAATCAGCACAAAGTAAGTCACTAGCACCACAACATGTAAGATGAACCAACTAACAAACAAAACCAAAACAAGTGGTGCCTGTGATGTAGCAGGCCGAGGAGCCATATACTGTATCTACTATTGCTGCTGTAACTCCATCGTTCTCCATATCACCTCCTAATACTCCTCAACTGCTGCAGTTTGACCATTTTGTAACGTTATCGTAATTCTAACGTATAGGTCACTGTGGCTGCAAGTAACGCCTCCCTTGATACTCCCGTGTGAATAAAAAATGTTTTCTTACAATATGAGAAGAAATAACCAGCCTTTTTCCTGAAAGGGAACATGTTGATTTAATATTAAGATATTCTTAAAAAAGTTTTTCTTCCTCCCTAAATATTCCATTAATTGAATAATGTTGACTCATACTTTTCTGATATTCTGCAATAGGAGTGCAACATGAGTTTTATACAGGGTACAAAATATACTGTACCACTCTTTAAAGATGCTTCATCACGTAAATATAGCATATACAGCGTATGATCATGAGATGGAAATTTGCAGAAATATTCAAACAACAGTCTGTAACCAAAGGTATAAATCTGTAGAGACAGGGTTACACTGGCAAGAAGACAAAATAAATATGAATTCACGGTAAACCTACAATGGAGGGCACAATTTGATTTAGAGAACACCAGTGGTGGAACGTTTGTACTCTCTAAGTACAATTTTGAGATACTTGTACTGAAAGTGCTTCAAGTATATATGTAGATGCTGATACTTTCGTTCTTTTACTTAAGTACTTCTTCCACCAGTGGAGAACACCCAGAGTGCAGGTCAGCATGACTTCATACCCTGATGCCAACATAATAACAAAATCGCTCAATATAAAACATAAAAAATAGCCGAGTTCAACAGCATGTATGATTCTTTATGCACGCTAACACTTTGCTATGCAATTGGAAACAGTGGTTGTCATGACCCAATATCAGCTGCACGTAAATATCCTATCCAGCTAACTGAGATAGTCTCTCACCTTAGTACATCCATGCATCCTACCGATTCACTTTAAAAGCATGCTGCTCCCAAGGCCACACAGCAGGCCAACAAAAGGACTACGATACCAGTTCAGGATGTTCTCCTGCCTTCTATGATAGAAAGCCTGCAGCCCCTGGAAAGAAAAGGGGATAAATACTTTTACTGAATGTGCAGCAAGCAATATAGAATGGGCAAATGCTCCTCTGCCTCCTACATCATATGCAGAATGTGGTAGTCTTATGCAGTGGTGATTCTTATTCTTCATTCTTAAATACTTATGCAAAATGTTTGCTTTCCATCTCACAAGTAATGTAATCTTTGTTATTAATTTATTTTTTATATATAAAAACCCTTTTTGATGCTTACACTGTGGAAAAACAAAAAGAGTTCATTATAGGGGATTGTATTTAGTGTTTAGGAGTTGTTGTGTCACTTGGTTGTATTTGATCTGACAGAAGAGGGAACTTCATTGCCTCTTAATTGAATAGAGTGTTGAAAGATGTCGATTGTTGAGAAGGTACAGCTCATATCTGTATTCCCATCTCAGGGTGCCTACCGAACATTTTCTTACGCCACACTGTTTGCAGTTGATTAGCTGCCATATAAGGGAGCCTTTCATAGGGATATTTTGTAAATTACTGTGAGTGTGGTTTTTAACTGTGGTATATTGTTATTGGAGATGTATTAGAAATGTGTGTGTGTGTGATTTAAAAAAAAATATATATATATATTCAATATATATATATATATATATATCTGAAGCTCAATAACCCCACAACAACCGAATAATGCTTCACCTCTCTTTCCATTAACTCCAAAACATTTGCAAAGTGCATTTAAAACAACCTCTTGCTTAAATGGCATGTATATTGCATCAATAAAAATACATTTGTTTTTTCAATGTGGAGTGATGGAATCAACTTCTAATTGCATAAATCAAATATCCAAGAATGGCATAACACGGCCCTCATATTGTTTTAATATGTTTTTGTTTTTTTGTCTTTTACACATTTAAATTCATCGCACATTTATGTGTTCTTATACAGGGTAAAATGTGCAAAGCCATAGATCAGGAATGGTAGCAGATGCAAAGCTCAAAGTCGAACTATAAATATTCATGGACCAGGACAGATGTCAAGAGCTTTGCAAGCAGAAGAAGAATATTTGGAAGAAAATAGGGGTATGCACAGTTTTGTTGAAGAGATGGAATTTGGATAAATGAAGAGTGCGTGACTATGCTGTCTTGACAAGAGAGGTGAGAACGTCATTCCACCTCTGGGGAAGCAGTTCAGATCGGTGCAGGGAAGGAAGAGCTGAACAGCAACAGAAAACAAAGACCAGGGATGTTGTTATGGTAGAGAGAAAACTAATGCTCAAACATCTGGAGAGTGTTTTAGATGCACTTGGAGGTAAGCAGATACTTTTAAACAATTTAAACCAAAGAAAAGGGCATAGCTGAAGGGCGCTAGGTGTACATACACTTTGTCAAGTTATTGCTGGTAGAAATCTTTGAAACACCATAGGGTCTTTTATTCGACATTATGGCAAGTGCCATCTTTTCTATTAAAAACAAACCTATTTAGCAAACCTAGCTTGCATCTGCACTGCTTCTTTTTATGTATTCAGGACCGTCGTCTATAGAAAGTTTTCTCTTCAGCAACCCGAAGAAGTTCACATGAAGGCTTCAGGCAGGAGACACAATTGCCGAAACAGAAAACCCAATATTTTTTTTTCCTTTGTTTTCTTTCTCTATACCCTACAGCAATATTATGTAACTATGTTCATCTATGTTCCCTGTGCTCACTGTCGGCACCCTTACTTTGGGATTTTTTTTCTCCATGCGACCAAATATGACACCTTGCTGGTCAGCTTTAAGGATGTTTGTACTGCACAACCTCACAGCTTTAGTTTTTGAAACTAGCAACTCTGCTGCAATTACTCACACTGGGCTTGAACAGAATAATAATGTAATTATTTAGGCTTCCAAATCTTATGATGAATCTTGTTTCCAAAATTGGCAAGCTGGCAAAATAAAGAATATTGATTGTGTTTTATTAACTGGAATGAAAAACTTCCAGCTGGCTGGCTGCAAAAGGTGAGATAATGCAGCAGAGTGTTTGAAAAAAACAACATACAGCATATTAATGGCGTAAACACAATTCCAGCTTCAAAAGAAACACACAAGGATTGAAAGAGTAAATGTCATCACACTGTTTTTCAATTGAAGATGACAGCTAAGGTTTCCATGTGTTACGAAATCCTTTTGAGTGCTACACTCAATGAGGCGACACTCTCAAATTTCTGCATTCTGCTGCTGGAGTCCCTCTTGCACTCTCCCCAACATCTGTGCACAATATTCATGCAGGTTGACATTTTCCTGAAAGAGGCATTCCTCTCAGAAGTTTTATTTCTAACTTTTGCTCTTCTACCTGATCTTTTGGAGAGAAAGTAGCATCAGTGAAGGCAGACACTTTGTGTTTATAACAGCTAACTAACTAACTGTTTACTAACTACAAGCCTTTTCAAATGCAGTCGCTTCATACAACTTATTTTTACGGATGCAGTTTGTAATTACAGCTCAGAGATATTCGCAAATAATAGAAACCGGGCAAAATTGTAAGCAGGTATAAGAGATAATTTAGATATACTCCTCTGGGACATCCGCCCACTCTGAGCTACATGCCTGCATGGCGAAATTGAGACTAGATATATCCTTAAACCTCGCTGTTCTCTACCTTTATTTTCATCTGGACATACTCACCATAGAGTAGTCAGTCTTTTTGTGTCATTAATGGGTTATGTAACAGCATGACAACATCAGCTCACAGCTAAAGGCAGAACAGGATACGACACTGATCAATTTATGTGCAAGGTGCCTTCACTCAGATGACAATAAAATGACACGCCTTGGGAACATAATTGAATGCACTTACAGTATACAGTCACAGGAGATGCCATGACAAAGCACAGAAACGTATCTGTGTATACACCTCCTATAGAGTTTACAGACAGGAAACCAATTTACATAATTAAAACTGTGACTACAAAATAATGAATGAAACAGCTATTAAATTGTTTTTTTTTTGTTTATTTATTGACTGAAGTTTCAGGCATTAATCCGGTCGACTACTCGTGATCTCTGTTCCGGAGGCTGCGTGAATGTGCATGCTTGTCTGATGTTATTTATGAGGTGATGCTCATTGACAAGGATTGACTAACACGCGCAGGCCTCGACGCCCCGGAGGATGGTCTGAGTAACCAAAGGGAAATCTGTGGAATGTAATGGAATTTGAAATTTCAACACTCAAAAGGCTCGGTTGTGACACTGAGTCTCATAAAAAAAAAGGAACTGTGTGTAAAAAGATATGCATTATGTCATGTGTACAGTTCCACTGAAATCAGATGTTATGGAAAATAAACTTGATATATCAGACTTTGTGATATTTGCTCATTAATGCATTTTGTCAAATCAACACGCTTAAAACGTTTTGTTGCTCTTGTTTCATATTTCTTCCCTTAGTAGGTGGTTAAAGGTTTCTTTAGAAGCCAGAATGCACTAAAACCAACACAGTTCTCACTGTAGACCAGGATGCCAGACTTTTTAAGGGCGTTTTGACTGAAAGTTCCTGTAGTTGGCTTAGAATCAGGTTGAATTGGAGGAGAGAAAGCTCTTACCAGCAAGTGGTGCATATTTTGAACTCCCTTATGCACTTGCAGACTCTTCTTTTAAAAGGGTAGGAGAGATGGATAGATAATTCTACTGCTTGGTTGGTGAAAAGGTACAGATGTACGGAATTGGGTCAGCAACATGCAGGGTTAAAGGGTATACAGTACAAGTTGGGTCACATTGGGTATGCTTGCTGAACTTGTGGAAGGATACTGTACATTTTTTTATTTTTATACTCTTGTTTATCCATAAAACTTAAATTAAATTGACTTTTTAACAAAGCCTCAGCACTTAAAACAAGTCAAATTATCAGCCAATGGTAATGTTTTTAGCAGTCAAATTTTAAACCATTTATAGTCACAGAATAAACATCATACCGCTCCTCAGTGTGTGTGTGTGTGTGTGTGTGTGTGTGTGTGTGTGTGTGTGTGTGTGTGTGTGTGAGAGAGGCAAGGATTGCCAGAGAGAATAAGGCGTTGGGAGAAGTAAATGCAGATTAGATTGTAGCAGACGGGAGGACATGGACAAGTGGTGGTGATCCAGCACCGGAGGCAGGGATTATGATTCAGAAAGTGGGATGTGATTAAGAGAACTGCTCCCTCATGATGAATTATTGCAGGAGGTGAGATGGTGGTCTTGACTCATCCCCATAATCAAACTCAATGCACACGTCAGTGCTGTAATGAGATGAGGGAAACAATTAGTCGCTGCAAGAGGGACGTTGTGTGAACATTTAAGAAGGCATCTGGCTTCATACTTCAATTATATCAACTATGTCGTTTTCATTGAATGACAGCCTCTCCAACCACGAGACAATATGCTGCCACAGATGAGGAGTTCAGCTCATATCAAAGTAATTAATAAGGCTTTCAAGTATAATACTTATCTTTAAGTACATTGTTGTACTCCTTTCTTTGCTTAAATTTAACCAAAGAAGAACTGTAATTAGACCCCAACTAAAATGTGCCTACTCCAGCTGCAGTATCTGTTGGCAAGTAGCCACCACATGGGAGGAAATGAATAGAGACAACAACTAGAAATATGAATGTAGCCAATGCGATTTTCATATCAAGGCTTAACTGACTGGTTGTGATTGCCTTCAATAATTCTGATTAACATTCAATGTGTAAAAGGGCACTTTAATCGCATCTAATGCATGGATTAACCAAGATAATCCATGCATTAGATTAACTTTGTTAATCCATTCATTCATTTCAACCAGAGACATTATACTATTTAATTTCTCTTTTAAGCAGAGATTAGAGGGCCCTCTTTTATGAAATTATATGGATTGACTTAATGTATCGTAGTGACAGATATTACAGGGTAAATATTGGACAGGTTTATTTCTAGCTTTATTTAAAACATTTGAATTACTTTCAATTAAAGAAGCAACTTTTTTTTTAGTCGTCTGTGTCAGAGATACTAGTTATACGCACAGCCATTTTAAGAGAAAAATCTCCAATTCTAAAATTCAGAAAACATGTGCTCTAAACCCGTGTGCCCAATGACACATGGACTCCTTCACATTTAAGATGGAAAAAAAAAACAAGCCGGATACTTCCCTGGTGAGCAGAACTCAGCAGGCTTTCTGAGAGCAATGGGATGAAAGGACTCATGTTATTTAGTATTTTGTAATACATTTGAAAAAGCTATATTGTTTGTGTTGGCTCACAGGACATCTGATTTGGTGCATATCTAAACAAGGATCCGGGAAGCTGTTCCAACCATTCATTAACAGTTGAATGGTGATTGGAGGATGAAAAGGAATATTAAGGAAACATATTACAGATTTGAATAATATCAAACAAATAACTACAATAAAATCAGTTCTCTCTTTGTTCTGCCTGGTTTGGAGGGAAAAGAGGGGAGTCTTGTGATTTAACAACATGTATGTGTGAACTAATACTGTTTGTCTAAAAACGACACTTTTGTATTATACGATTCATTAAAAAAAATGGTTGCAATTAGTTTTATGTTAGACATCTACCTGCAGCAATTGTCACCGTAGAATGAAATCAATGAAATCAGTAT